AAGTCAAAATAAAGTGCAGTGACATATGTAGGTGCTAGGAGACACAGAGCTAGAACAGGCTGGGTATCGAAGCAGATGCTGAGACTCATAGCCAAACTTTGGGCAGAGTGCAGAGTGCAGGGATTCTTACGAAAGAAGGGGGAGATAGAAAGACCTGGAGGGAACAGGAGCTTCACAAGGAGAGCAACAGAACCAAGACAATCTGGGCAAAGGGTCTTTTCCGAGACTGATATTCCAATCAAGGACCATGCATGGAGATAACCTAGAACCCCTGCATAGATGTAGCTCATGGCAGCTCAGTGTCCAAGTGGGTGTCCTAGTAAGGGGAACAGGGACTGTCTCTTACATCAACTCAGTGGCTGGCTCTTTGATCACCTCCATCTGAGGGGGGACAGCCTTACCAGGCCACAGAAGAAGACAATGCAGCCAGTCCTGATGAGACCTAATAAGCTAGGGTCAGATGGAAGGGGAGGAGGACCTCCCCTGTCAGTGGACTTGGAGAGGGACACAGGAGGAGATGAAGATGGGATTTGAAGGGAATGAGCGAAGGGAATACAGCTGGGATACAAAGTGAATAAACTGGAATTAATAAAATAATAATGATAATAATGTAATCAAAACGAAACTGGTAGCTTCAATGCCCCTAATGTCATAGGGCTACTATATTGCTGCTTTTCTCTTGCAGGTTTAAGCAAGGAGACCCAGGCTCCTCTCTATTTTGACTGTATTACACACATTTTCACCAAAAAGTCATTGTTCTTGCAGTGTGACTGACACATTAGCACACAGGCTCTTCTTCTGAGTCTTTAGGGCGAAATTTAAGTACTTATTCTCTCCGGTTTCTTCAGAATTACCCTTCCATCTGTTTTATTAACTACTTTGTATACATCCTTTGTGTTTAGTCATATTTGGATCTTTATAAATGCTGGGCAATTCTGTATTTGAGTTCAGAGTGAGCTCTGTTTTGTGTTAACTTTATACAAACTGGCAAATCCAGCAAAATTTATTAAGAGAGCACCTTAATAAATCATTGATAGAATTCTATCCAGAAATTCAAGGTCACAATCACAATAGAAAACAAAATGGTGTTTTTTAAGAGCTGGGGAACTGACAGTATCGGGAGATAAATACTCGTTTTGCAGTTGAAATGAATTTCAGAGGTGTAGCGCAGGAATTAACGCTTTTAATGCAGCTGAACTGTTCACTACAGAGTAACTGAGATGGTTAATTTTTGATATATATATTTTGCCACAATTTACATGTTAGAAAAAATATAAGAAAACATATTGCATTGTGCTGTATTCAGTACCGGGAAAAATTAATGACCTCATAGCCTGATATATGAGCAAAGTGTTGTGAGATGACAAGTCTTGCAGGTTATTTATGTGTTCTTCAGAAAGCGCAAATGCAGCATTGCTACAGAGATAAGGCTGATGGTAACCCTGCCTCCTGTGAGCAAAGGTGGGATAGAAAGAGGGGGGAGAGTGTATTGTTAAGTGTAGGGAACTGGCATTTGAGCCTGGCTTAGAAGACACATAAAAATTCACACCGCTATGAGAGAAGATATTCTAGCAGAAGAACAGATATAGTAGAAGGATCAAACTTTGGCAAACCCATGAAAGATCTGTCTTGGGAAGCATGTGAGGAGATGATGCCAGTGGGTCAGAGTCTGGATTTTCTTAAAAACCGATTGTCTTAGAGAAAAACATACTTCAGGGTCACTTGTGGAAATCTGAAGACAGCAATGTCCACATTTGTCATGGGAGATTTGGTTTAGTGGGTCCAGCATGGAGCCTGGATTAATGCCCGTCAAAGCTTCATAGTGATTTATTATACTTCCACAATCCTTACCACAGGGCATATGAAATTACTAAAAGTATCATTTTGAAATAAGAGAAACAGAGACAAGATAGACACTCCGTAAACGACAATTTGAATTAAGTCTGCGAGAATAACAAGGAGAGGAATGTATTTGAGAGGTATTCAGAAGGTCACAATAATTTGGTTTAAGATATTAGGTTGAACTTATGGAACTCAGGGTGACGCCAGATCCACTAAAATAGCAAAGGCTGGCATATGTTTGTGTGGCCTTCAGCTGTCAGAATAGATACTCAGTAACTTCTGGCTAATTAAAATCCCCAACAAAGTAGTAGTTATGTAACTGTAGGTGAAAGACAAATGAGTGAATAGAAGTGGCTTTCCAGGATGGACTGTCTTACTTTCAGTTTTGGAGAAATCTAGATACCAAGAGACAGATGAAACAGGGCGCTTTACAAAAATATATGCAAAGACAAAAGAGGCATAAAAGGAAAATGCTGAAAGTTTGAAATGTTCGGAGTGAGGTTCCAGAAATGGTGGTTTTAGCTTTTCTTTATGGAGAAATGATATCACAGAGTTAGAGCAGCATCCTGACACAGTGTGTCTAAAAGACAAGCTGGCAACGTTCCAACTCAGGAGGCAATGGTGAGCACTGCGTTTGGACAGGAGTCTTACAGGAACTTTAAGCTCATGTTCTTTTGGAAGAACCTACAAGCAGCCAAGAGGGTAGGAGGGATTGAAAAGAAAGAAATTCAAATCAAGAAAAATCAAGAGGCTCCAATTAGGGTAGGAGCAAAATATAACAATAAGAAACTTAACAAGGATGGCCAAAGAAGGAAAGGAAAGGCAGGAGACAAGACAAAGGATATGCATGTTAAATAAGTGAATACGCATGAGCTGGCCATGAGTCAGATGGTGAAAGTCAGAGCTGGATTCATGGTCAACCCCAAGTGATGCATACTATTGTACTGAGAAGAAATTATGTCAGGAAGATGAACAGTCTCAGGTGAAGATAAATGACCTCGAGGTACCAGGATGGATCCAAGTAGGATAAATATTTGGAGTACCTGGGAATGCAGAAGCCATTTACAAAGCAAGGCCAGCAAAGGCTAGAGGGAGGGACTAGAGTTGTCTAGAGAATCTGAGGTAGAGGCAGGCCGAGGTACAGCAGATGAGTCTGCTGACATGTGAGGAAGAGCAAGCATCAGATTGGTGAAGCTGAACTGACGGATCACAGAGGGAAGAAGCTCAGGGAGGCAGACGTGAGTCATTTCTGCATCGCCTTGATAGTAGACTCAGAGACATTGACAGTATGACTTCTGGGCTACTGGCATTTCCTTTTAATGAGCTCAGTTTATCACTGTATGTCCACTCAGTGGTGAAATAACTTTCATCGAGACAACTGTGCAAGAGGAGCTATGTACAGACGGCATCAGAACGCTGATGTATGAAAACTGAAGTGTGAACACTTTCCGCATTCTTGCTTAAGGACTCAGCATTTCTAGCACGGTAGTCAATGCTAAATCGCGGCTTTGCAGGACAATATATGAACCATAGCTGTGAATGTCAATGAAGTAGATATCCCATAACTGTTAACTGAGTGGTCCTCTGGGGATGCAAGTATCAGTCCTGCTTTTCTCAAAAAATTAAATCCACATACAAATATATCTATGCACTTTCTATCTTGCTCATTTTGTGACAGATATATTGGTATTTAATTGGGGCCACCTTGATTTTATGGGTTAACTTGAGAACTTTCATTTTCACAACGGTCAATGCACTACGAAGATGTTATGCAAGTCTTATACGACTCTCAGCGGAAGATAATTACTTTTCATATAGCTCCTAAAGTTGACTTTTAACAGTTTGTAACTGTCTTTTGAGTTATTGTTATCAATAGTATTACCTCACACGTAGGAGTCAGGTCTGTGCATGTATATATGTGTGAATGCATGCGTGCCTATGTGTATGTATGTGTGTATGTGTTTGTGTGCAGTTGCATGTGGATGCATGGATGTGTATATGTATGTATGTGTATATATGGCCATGTATATGTTTTCGTGCATGTGTGTGTATGTGTGTGTATGCATATGTGTGTGCGTGTGTGTGTGTATGTTTGGACGTGCAGGTGACAGATGTAGATGTCTTCCCAGAAGATCAATAAGCATTTTTAAGAAACAACCTAGAGCAAATTCAAGTTCCTAAAATAAGATACTGATACACATGTAAAATCAGCAGATAATACTAGCATAGAAAAAAAAAATTCCCATTTGTTTTGCCGGTATAGTGCCTGTTTGGTGCTTCTGATAGGAGGTGAGCTGTGACTCTTTAGTGCTTAGATGTGATAACTACTCAGCCATCTCTGGCCACTACCAGCAGGCACTTCATTCTGGAGCTTTCCACAAGAACCCTGGTTTTCTCAGCCTTGTACTGGAATTCATGGCCATGTTCTGGATTCTTCCCATTCCGAAAGCTTAGAAAATGAACTCACAGCAGAAAGCCCCCTCCTGCACATCACACTCTGGGGTACAAGTATTTCCACAGGGTACAGGGAGGAGTCCCAACGGGTCCACCTGTAACCCTGCTTTTGTCCCAAGTCCTTGCAAATGTTCTAGTTTGAATAACCTATTTAACAAAATGACAAGAGAAGAGATAAGCAAAGTTTTCTTCCACATATCCAGAGAGAAATGTTTCATGTTTTGTGGGCCATATGGCTCCTGCTGCAGCTCCTTACCTCTGCTTTTGTGGTGTGAAAGTATCACAGACAATTTAAAAAAAAAATTAGCCTAGCTGTATTCCAATAAAGCTGTATTTAGTGAACATGTTGTAGGCCAAGCTTACACCAGCCTTATTTTCTAGATACCTAAATTAGATCAATAAACTTCCAAATCATTATTTACATTTTTAAAAAGTCAATAGCAACATACTCAACTCTATAGAAGGAAGGACTCAAGGGATGCAAAGCACTGAAGTAAACAAAGTGAAGAAAAGTCACCAAGATACTTCTCACCAACCAATGGTTCTGAGCATGACCAATTTTTCTTTGATTTGGAGCACAAATGGGATTATAGTTCATGATAAACATAAACAGGACATTGCCTCATGGCCACCGCTGTGGGAAGAACAGGTTGTCAAATGAAAAACTATCACCATTTGTAATGGCAGTATTTGCTCTAACTTACCAGTCTTGTACAGCATTGAAAGACTCTTCATTTGTGATGTCATACATTAAAATGAAGCCCATGGCCCCTCGATAGTAGGCTGTGGTGATGGTCCTGTATCTTTCCTGGCCTGCTGTGTCCTAAAAAACAAAACAGTGATACCATTTCATAAACAAGGCAAAGTAGTGCTTTGCGGAAGGGATTAATATTTCCAGAGCAGTCACAACAGCATCTAAAACTGTGTGTCTAATGCACACCTCTCTGTCTTTCTTATCTTTGTTTTTCATACTGATGTTCACATATCAGTTCTGCAGTACTCTGAGAAATTCCTTCCTTCCTTCCTTCCTTCCTTCCTTCCTTCCTTCCTTCCTTCCTTCCTTCCTTCCTTCCCTTTCTCTTCTTCGTTTGTGTGAATGAAGACCAAAGCTTACTCCCACCAACAGCATAAAACTAAAGAAAAGGAAAGAAAAGATTATCCAATCTGAAATTGGTGGCTCTTGACATATTTTAATGCCAGAAGGATACAATGGCTACATCACTATGCCTTTATTGTCTGTCCATGAATACCAGCTGGTGTGAGGACAAGGGAACACGCTCCTACTTTTAAGGAGGTTACAGTTCAATGTCGGCTTACTCAACTGTCAGATGACAATAAAGCACCTTCTTTAACATCTGAGGTGGATGATCACATGAGCACTTGAGTTCCTGCTCCTCTGTTATATTGTTGGGGATCATGGTCAAGGATCCAGCCTTTTGTAAATTGATCACATCTAAAGCTAAGCAAGTGTGTTGGGGTTCCAGAGCTTCTCGTACAGCACAGGATAAAAACAAGGGCTAATAAATGACAAGGTCAAGGTATCATCCCTGAGATGTTGGGGATAACTTAAGATTTTATATAGAAAACAACTTACAATTGCAGGAAGTCATATCTGCAAAGGCATGTCACTTGTCATGGCAAGTGACAGTGAAACCAGGTCTCTATGACAGGCAAATCATCTAACGGACTCTGCAACCCATCGCAGACACTGACCCTGAGGAACTGGTTCCCTGGTTTACCCTATGCCTCTTCTTATGTTCTTTCATCATTTCTAATGTACACACACACACACACACACACACACACACACACACACACACTCTTTGCTTTTCTCCTTTACCACTCTCTTTGGAGACTGTGACTTAGTGTCTCTTTTCATAAACTCTTTAGGATCTTAGCATTTGTACAAAAATCCTCTTCCCTAAGATGCTTCTTTTATAAACAGAGTGCATGGTAGATATTCCTCTAAGATCTAGCAGGCCTTAAAGGGAGAACTAACTTGTTGGGTGATGCAAAAACAGCTTCCTATATCATCAAAATGACATTGAGATCTTGAGGAGTCCATGATGGATTTTGAATTCCACTCATAGGCATCCTTCCAGTTGGACCCTAAAATCCAGCAATGCAGCAGAGAGGAACATAAGATTACTCCCGGCTTCTGGCACTATAGGTTTAAGGAAGAAGAGAGATAGAAGGAGGCTGAGCTCAGTGAGTGAGTCTATGTGCAGCTAGAACTGACTTAGCCAAGAGTCAGGCCAACAAGAACATAAGCATCTCCTGAGAAGGCTAAGAGTGGCCTAATTAAAGCTCTTAGTGAAAATAAGGGTTCAGAGACAGGATGAAACAGACCAGTGTTCAAATGTACAACAATTAAGGAGAGCTTGTAAGGGAGCTTTTCCTGCCACATTTTCAGTGGCAGAAAACAACAGAAAAACAAGGCATAATGGAAACATGTTTGCATTATGCCAGAGAAAACAAAGATTTATATCTTTAATTGGTACAGTAATACCACTCAGAAAAGTATGTATTCCAATTGTAAGTGAGTAATTAGTAAGAAGTCAAATTCTAACCATGATAATAGGAATAAAAGCTTCCCAGTTACAATTCTACTAAAATGAGAATTTCTCCATAATTATGTTAATATTTTATTGTGCTTTGCTTAATGTTTTATAAATATTATGAAAGTGTAGATGCCTAGGATATCAACTGCATATAATTAGAACAGATATAGAAACTGATTGAACAGAAAAAGGCCACTATCGAGGCTTTCCCTGTATTCTCAGAAAGTCATGAACTTAATTTAGTTAACAGTATATGTAACCATGAGAACATACATATAATGCCACAGCCAAATTCCCAGTGAACACGTTTAAAAGGATAGTAAAAAACAAGGTAGAATGGTTTGACTTTCTGGGGAGAAGAACCCCTTGTTACTGGTCAGATTATTGACAACATTTCCACCTTCTTCCTGACTTCACATTGTTCAGAACATACTGTCTATGAATGCAGCTGACCTCTACCCCCACCCCCTGTCAAGTGTCTTTAAACAGCTTTCTTTTCTTTCTTGGTACAGACTGAATATCCCTGGTACAGGCCAACAATGCCATGCCTGCTTCTTTCTCTGTAAAACACAAAGGGTTTCTCTCATTCTTCTTAGAGGAAAACTGAGAAACACCATGAATACTGAGAAAGGTGACCCAGACCCCTGCCAACTGCGTTTTCAACACAGCCTGCTGATAGATATGTTGAAAAACTGTGGCTTTCCTGTGGTAATGTTCCCTTTTTAAATTTTATTGTGATGGTAAAGACACTTACTGTAGTGTCATAAAATGCATCAATTTTACATGGTGTTTTTTAATCGCTGGGAGAGCAAAAATCATGAATCTGTTATACTGTAATTGAAATGTTACAGGAAGATACTAAAAACCACAGGGTTAAGTAATCATTACATATCAAAATTGGGGAAAGGTACATACAGAGAAACAGCTTTTAAGAAAAGAAGAAGAGGAAGGAGAAGAAGAAGAAGAAGAAGAAGAAGAAGAAGAAGAAGAAGAAGAAG